GTATGTGTGGCACAAAAATGGTAAAATCTTTGTTAAACGCAAAGATGGCGATGATGCCTTTGTGATCAGGAGTGATGAAGATTTGCAAAGCATTCCATCGTAGTTGTATACTGATGATGCTTAGATTTCTAAATTTTGCCCCAATAACCTCACGCAGAGAGTAGTTATTTTCAGCCACTACTCCATGATGAAGCAACGGCTCTCCTCGAGAAATAATGTAGTTCACATTTAAATTGTTTTCATTTAAACGCGCAGTCCGCAGTCAACAAAAAAGCCGACCTTGAATTGATTTTTGATCAGTTCGGTGTTCTTTTTGATAACATAATGCTTACCGAGACCTGGTATAAAGATAACTCAGATATTTTTAGTTTACAATCCTATAATACGCATGTTTTAAATCGCACTTTAAAGCGGGGCGGAGGATTGGCTTTCTTGATTAGAAAGGGTATCGACTGTGAACTACTAAGTGACTATTCTTTTATCACGAAAGATGTAGAAGCGTTGGGCTTACGTGACAATCAAGATATTTTCGCGGCTTTTTATCGCCCACCGGACGGTAGCATGTCATCCTTTTCAGCAATTCTTGAGTCTTTTTTATGTTAACAAATGAGAATCAATATGGCGTCATTTGTGGGGGTGCTTTTAATGTTGATATGCCTTCTGCAGTTTTCCCAAAAGGAAAATGGAGTACGTAGTTAGCATGTACGGATGTATCAACACGATAGCCAGTCCTACAATAATTACTTTAGAAACAAAAACCATTTTAGATTTGCTTATAACTGATTTTCATACAGATTGAGTGAACCGTGGAGCTATAAGTTGTGACTTGAGTGACCATCTTCCCATTTTCTTATGTGTTCAGCTTAATCTCGAAACCTAACAAAATGCCAACCTGCGTTTTTCCAAAACATTGATAAAAATAGTCTCGATGCTTTTATACGAGACGTTACAGCTGTAGATTGGAATATGGTGTTTACGGAAGAAAAGGTTGATTACGCCAATAACTTATTTTTAGAACAATTTCTCAAACTGTATAAACATCTCTTTTCATATAAACCCGTAAAAATATCAAACAAGATGCGTAAACCGTGGGTGACGTCCGGTTTGATCAAAGGAATACGTTAGAGAGATATACTATATAAAGGGTTCGTTAAAACACGCAACCCGGATGTTCTTAAAGAATTTAAGTCTTATCGTGACAGCTTGACCAAGGAGCTAAGAAATTCCCAAACAAATTTATTATTTTTCCCTTTTCTCGTCGGCAAATAGTGGTACTGACGTAATAGGGAAACATGTTGGTCGTTGGTTAAGGGGTTTGCTGTATCAAACACCATTGAGACATTGCAGTATAAAAGTGTAGGTTTAACCGACCTAGACTCGGCAAATATGTTTAATGTATATTTTGTAAATATATCAAGTATTGCCGATACTAATGACTTTTCTAAATATATTTGTCAGAGAAACTTTAGATCTATACTTTTAGAGCCAATTCCTAATCCAGAAATAACTCATGTGATTTTGCACCTAAAATGTAGCGGTAGCTGTGACGCTGATTGAATGCGAATTCGCCCCATAAGTATGTTGTCGACCTGATTGCTCCCGTGTTAACTTATATGTTTAATCTTCCTTTTTAAGTCTGGTGTGTTTTCCAGAATAATGCAAAGAGCTAAGGTGTCTGTACTGCAGAAAAAAGGCGATAGAAATGAGTTGGGCAACTATAGACCTATTTCTATATTGCCCGTATTTTTTAAGGCTTTGGAGAGGTTACTGTATCATCGTTTAGAAGACTTCTAGAATAAATGTGACCTCATAACTTCCTCGCAATTTGGTTTCAGAAAAAAACTGTTCAACAAAGACTTGATCAAAAATAATATATTTTAGAAAAGTTTCAGTAAAAACTTTGTTCTAGGGGTGTTCGTAGATTTTGCAAAAGCCTTTGACTGTCTTAATCACGAGGCATTATTCAAAAAGCTTGAAATGTGTGGCATTCACGGACTTGCCCTACTTCTTTTACAGTCATACTTACGACAACGCCAGCACTATGCTAACATGAACAGTCATTCTTCTACTGTGAGATGTATTACGTCAGGTGTTCCACAAGGAAGCATATTGGGACCATTTCTTTTTAATGTGTGCCTTAATGATATAATCAGCGTAAATACTAAGGCGAAATTTGTCATTCATGCAGATGCTACTTTAGTATTTTTTTTTCTGACGAAACTTGTGACGAAATAATTGCTAGGCGAACTTCACTTTATTAAATATAAAAGGCTGGGGGATAGCGATTCGCTGAAAATTAATATTATTAAGATGAAAACAGCCATTTGTTTACCAAAAAATAGGTCTCTGGTTATATCGAAGGTTCTCCGCTTTGACCCGTCTCCCGTCGAAATCGTTAGTTCTTTCAAAACTCTTGAAGTGTTTTTTAGTGAAACAATGAGCTCGAATAATAATATCAACTCTATTGTTCCAAAGCATGCTTGAATAGTGGGATTCGTAAATCGCTACCGATCTGTTGTATCAACGAGGATTAAATTGTTGATCTATAAATCACTACTCAATTCCCGTTTAACGTATTCTCTTCTAGTTTGGGGCACATCCACAATGACTGATACAGAAAAACTGTTTTTGCTGCAAAAAAAGATATTGAGACGAATATTTAATGTGCCCTGTGACTTTCATTTTGCCGATTTATTTAAGAACTGTAAAATAATTAGCATTTATAAATTTAATTATTACAGACTCGGTACTAGTTTTAAAAGTGAAAAGAAGGCTTCTGTTTTCTGGAAATAATTGTGTCGTTAAGAAAAATTTCCCCACATTACTCTACTCGCAACGCAGAGGAATGCAGGATGGCCACGCAACGAACAAACTATGGCTATCAAATGTTAAATTTTACATTCCACGTTTCCTAAATAGTCGTTGCATTGACAATACTGATTTAACTTTCAAGGACGTGCACTTATATTTTTGTACGTAATTTTTTTTTCGCTTCTATTCTATAATTTACACTTCCGTTAACCTTGGTTTGTACAAATGTCAACCGTAGATGCGCAACGGTTTCACTGTATACTTTGCCTTTTCTGTATTTTTTCGCATGCTTCCTGCTCATCAGTGTAAGGGGCCCGAGGACTAGTCAAGCTGCCTGTTGCAGCTTTTTTTTCCTTTGGGCCCCCATTATTAGATTGAAATAAAGATATTATTATTATTAAGGAAGGATAGACATGCAGGACACACAACACAACTTCAATCTTGAATCTTGATTGGCACCAATACGCTTTTCGTCCAACTAGAGTATACGCCACCCTGACTGCGAACGCCCGAAGGAAAAATCCATCAATGTAACCCTGTTTGGCAGTCAATGTTTTCTAGTGGACCGCTGACTGTGCCTGACTGTACGTCAAGCATGTCTGATTGGCCAACAAGTTACCCTGACCGACAGTCAAACTCCAGTCAGACCCCGCTTGCCGGCTTTCTGATGGTTTCCTGGTGGCAGTCGGCCGCCGCGAAATGCCATCAGGATGTCTTGGTGGCGATTCTGACTGTACATCGATTGTCTCTGACTGTACGTCAAAAAGCTTTGACGTGCAGACAGACGTACGGTCAAAGGACGTAAAGTTCGTTCGGATACCACTATTTCGTCAAATCTATGAATACGAAAAGTAATCTATGCACGAGAAAACGATTTCGGGACGTGAGCCCATAAAACCGCTGACGTTAGAGATATGACACGCAACCGACCGACAACCTTGATCAGAAGCCCGCCGAAGCGCCGAACAGGCCGAACACGACACTTCGCCACTTCGCTTCGCCCATAGAGGCTTCGCCGAGCTTTCATGAACGATCGCTCTCGACTCGTTTTGTTTGCCCGCTTGCTCCAAGCTGTCGATCCTGCCCGGGCTCTACAATGTCTTATGTTTTAGTAGAATTTCTACTCGACAAGACCCAGCCTGTTGTGAGTTCCGACGATGTAAGGGACTTTAGCGGTGTAGTTGAAGACGACGAGGTGTACCAGGTCTACTGGGCCGGTGACGCGCGAACAAAAGGATCGTTCTACGACGCGAAAGTACTCTACATGGCAGGTGAGTAGAACTGAAGTACGGCGAGTGATGTACGAGTGCTTTGCATAACATGCTGACGGCTTAACTGCATTTGCAGCCGAAGCATCTCGTATGAAAAGAATGGTCAAATCGAGTTTCCTAAGTGTGGGCATAGCATAGAGGTTAAGGTGTCCGATTTGTACGCAAGTGGTCGCGGGTTCGATGCGCGGTGATCCTGCTTTTTTTTTTTTTTCTCGGACATTTTGTTTTATCGAGGCATTTGGCGATATTTATGAGTGCGTAAGCTTTACTCTTATATAAATGCTGCCCTTGTTGATGAAATTCCCTTGGCAGTGGCAGTCAGACGTCATCTGATGGACCATCAGATAACGTCTGATGGTCCATCACGTTCCACCAAGGCTGCTGACTGGCAGTCAGTGTCCCAAATTACGTAGCTTGATGGAATTTTCAATAGAGCGAGAATATTTGCTGGGCTTGTTGATATATGTACCAAGAAACGCCCTGGACTGTTGCATCCTGACATGCCCAGAGCATAGTCAAGGTTGCCTGCCCCAACAGTAACTCCTAGAATTGATACTCAGTGTTGTAATGTATTTTGTTTTCTGTCTTGGGTTTTAAACTATATCGTTTTTCAACCAGCTTGCCTGCACGCGTTCTTAGTCGTAATTCGAGGTTTTTCGTTTTCTAAGGCTATCATGAGATAGTCTTAGAAGATACTAATCTTACTTTTTCGAACACGATGGTCGCCCTTTTTAAAATAAAAGAGTAATTATAATTCGAACGCATTCTTCCATTTTATTTAGGAAACACGTCTGGTTGGATAACGAAGTAACGCGAATAGAAAACGATCGAATATTGTACGCAGCAAAGAACATATCGCAGAGCCCGCGGTTATGCTAAAACAGTGGATAATGAAAATGAAAATACGACATTGCTTACCTGTATTTCCACCTTGAATTTTTTGTTGGAAGGTCTAAGCGTTTCGTCCATTGCAATAAATCGTATCTTTACTGGAATATAAAATACGAATAGTTAGGGAAAGTATTCTTATACTTATATGGTTAGAAACTGAGTAAGAGGAGAAGAAGAAAGTACGTGAGGACGTCAGAAGACCCGCACCTCCTCTCCGTCACTTCCAAGCTGTATAATTTTCAGGATTTTATAGAACGCACTTCTAAAATCTCTTGATGTAGAGGGACTTAGTGGTAATTTGAAAGAAAGTTTCTCACTCGCCGTCGCTTAATCTTTTTTTTTTATATATAAATTGGAATGACGCTATGGTTTGCTTTGACTTTAGGTGCACATGTTCAGTCTCTCCCTGGGTACCATCAGTTTGATGGTACGTACGGGTGGGAAAACGCCTGCGCGCATAACACACCCCCAAAGCGGTAAGACCACAGTCTTGAACCTTCCAATTTCCCCTAGTAAAAAACTGCGCGAGTTACGGCGAGCGCAATGATGGTCGAGTGAATAGGCACGAAATGACTCGGCAGACAACCGAATGATAACGAACTGATTGAAGCAAGATTACCATAAAGTGGGGGCGGAACACTCCTTGGTTATGCCCTATCGCATTGACCATTTGCCATGGCGTGTGTGATCCCACACCCCAGTCGGTGATCAGCCCATTGCGACGTGTGTGTGTGGAGGGGGGGGGGGGGGGGGGGTCAAGGGGAGAGGTAGAGGGACAGGGAACGTGTGTTGAGGATGACACTTGCCTGCGCTTCCCGGATGGTAGATGGGCTTGTCGGTCTGCAAGAAGAGGTGCTCTCCGGACTTTGGGCTCACCAACACTTGAGCACTCCTGGTCCACAGAGACCCACACTTGACTTCGAGCGTCACGTAAACCGGAGCTTTGCCGAGTGTCAAGTCGGGGAGGTCCGCGAGCTCCACGCCGACATCCCAGACTTCGGGCCTTCCTGCGTGTAGCGACAATCCACTGGTACGTGCTGCTTGGTTATTCGGACTTGCTTTCATACGCTCACCCGTGCAGATCTGCTTTTCGTATTCTACATGCTCATGGTGTGAATGTGTTTTAATTGATTTTATTTCTTTCAGCAGGCAGACAACGACTCTGAATTAAAGCTCCCGTTCGTTGCTGGTGTTTTTTTGTTTTTTTTTGAAGCATGAAAAGGTTTTTAACGCTACACCCCCCTCCCAAAATTTTGTTCGTCCGTTCGTCCGTCTGTCCGCCCAGTCCATGCAATTCTCACTAAATTTAGGAGGGAAATTGATATCACGAGTCCTGTACGCGAAATCAGTTCCTCAGCTGAATTTAGCAGCAAAGTCTCTGTCACGTGATTTGACGTCACGGGACAAAAAACAAAAATTCTGTTTCCGCGCTAAATTTCGCGAAAACATTGACGTCACGTGAGCGATACACCAATTCAGTTACCCGCTAAATTTAACGAGCAATTTACGACTTGTGGCCTAGACACCAATCCAGTTTTCCCTCTAAATTTAGCTGGGAAAAGTGACGTCACGCAACCTGCAGTCATCTGACCTATACAATTATTCTGCTGCCTCATTAAATTTAGCGGGAAAATATACGTCACATGACGCATCAATTCCCTCGCCCTATAATGTATTTCGTGCATTATAGAACTTTCAAGGTAGAGGCCGCTGCCATTTCTTTTCTTTTTTTTACTTTTTATGTGAACCAAAGTTTATTAGCTAACTAATGGTGTGACTATTTTTCCACGCATTATGCATTTCTACATTAAAATCGCTATTACGCTGTTTTTTGCAGTCTTAAATGTTACGAGATGACTCAGAGCTTGAGCTTGATGCTTGACGGCCACCAATGGGGATCAAATGACTCTCTCAACGTTGGTTCTTTCAGGGTGAGGCTTACTTGGGGAGACTGTGCGTGTCTCGGTGAAGAAGACACCCCGCTGATTTGGGTGCTTCTGCAGGCTGACTCGAACCTCTTGAGCAGCCCCACCTTCGACCGCCACCGCCACCGTTTCCTTGGAGCCGAGGCGGAACACGTTCGGTGCCACCAGGTAGCAGTCACTGGAAACAATGCGGGAGTGCTTGGTAGCTTATCGCGTGGTCAGATATGGCTTTGCCATTCACTTAAGTTGATGTGCTTCATTAGCAGCGGGTTAGTTCTTAAAAGGCCATTGGACATTTGCCATGGTTCCGCAGTCCCTGGCGTGTTTGTCACCAGTGCTTCCTTCACCCACCTGTCAATATTAGGACGCGTGTACGGGAGCAGAACAACTTGAGATTCGAACTTGAATAGAAGAATGTGACGTTGCTTCAGTTTGATAACATGGGAAGGTTTGCCATCCTACGGGATAGGATGTTCAAAAAGAAAGCAATCAAGGCGATCACTAAGTTGTTTAAATTTTTCACTGATGACTTAAAGAAAGCCAAGAGGAATGTTTATCACTGTAGAGATACAGTGAAGTTCCAGCTGCTTTTAGAAAGTTGGGAAAAGTAGCGATGTCGACGTTGAGTGTTAAGTTCCTGGTGAAGGACTATAAGGAAGAGTTTCCCTTAAGAGTTGTGGTGCATGAAAATAGAGCTTGTCAGATGGTTTTGTCGGTATTTCTTCAAAAATTTTACGCAGGTATAGAAATTCCATCGCAACTAAAGAACTCGTAGCAGCTGAATTGCTTATTAGATGCCCATTAGCCGACATATTGTAGTGTTAACGCTAGACATCAAGAGTTACTTTATTTAAGAAAACAGTCTGAATTGCTCGTACGAGTGCAAGAAAGGTGTAAAGGCAATTTGGTAAGGTTTCAATCTACTGCTGGCATTGATATAGACAGTTTTTAAGCAATGTGGAGCTCTACCTAAGGTTCACTGTAATAGAGTATGAAGGAGTTCCGTCTATTTAGCAGGGAGGAGTATGTGTCGGTTCTTCCATTGCCCAAATTTCGCCGAAAATTTACGTGTACAACTTTTTTATTTTTTATTTATTTCTTTACAATAACTGCTGATCCCTATGAGGGATCGCAGCAGGGTGGAAAAACATAAAACGAAGCATAAAAGTACAAAGCACGAATCACTCGTAACACAAGGTGGAAACAAATGCACTGGCCGGGACTTGGTTAGTAGTTTTGTAAGAAACCCCGTTTCATTTTACATCCGTTCGGGGGAAAAAGGAAATTCGAAACTATTGATGCGCGGTTGATAAGGTGTGATAGTAAGCGGGTTTCTTCCACGATTGGCATACCCAGTACAAAGAGTTCTATATATTATCTACGTTAATTTTATACAGTTCCTCAATTAATTAAAATTAAAATCGAAGTCTGCGTATGCGCGGTTCCTTGCTTGGATTGAGACAAACCCAAACTTTTTGGTAAGCTCTAAAATGGAAGCTTTTGTATAGAAATTAGAAATGAATCTGGACAGCTTTGTTTTGTATTCATTGCGTGTGATTAATACTTGTTTGAATAGGTCCCAAATAATGTTGGCATATTTAATAACAGGGCGAATTAGAGTTTTGTACGCTATAAGTCGAGTGTCTGTAGTGGCTGATTTTAGTGGTTGTCTAAGAAAAAAGAGCCTAGGGAAGGTATTAGAGGAAACAATCCTAATATGTTGTTTTGTACTTAAGATCAGGGCAGACCTAGAGACCCAGGTACTTGAATTAACTCACCTTTGTTAGGATACGCTCATTAACACGATGGGGAAATGAAAGGGCCTTCTTTTTGTTAGTCACTGACATACAGACACTTTTTCATAGTTTACACACATTTGCCAGGTATTACACCACTTAAAAATCTTATTTAAATCATCATTGGGCCTAATTTAATTATCAACACATGCAACTTCGTTATACAGCACACAGTCGTCAGCATAAAGACGTATATTAAAAGAAATGCCGTCAGGAATATCGTTGATAAACAACAAAAACAACAAAGGAGAAAGTAGCAAAACTTGAGGTACACTAGAATCAACCAAGAGCAAGGAATAACACTCATTACTAATGGCATATTGATAACGATTTGTAAGGTGCGCTTGTATCCAATCTGTTGAGTGTGTTTACAAGAACACTCTAACTAATTGAAGTTCACCTGGGAGGACCCGAAGGATGGAGTTTTGACAGTTTTAGAAATTGAACTTTCCATCCCTGAGTCTCATGTGTGCTGGAGTCACTCTCCTAGTTCGAAGAAGGCTTTTCTTCCATACGATTCAAACCACTCTAAAGTAATAAAAATACGGATTGTAACTAGTAGTTTTGGGGGTCTCTTATGAGGTCGTTACCGCACAAGATGATCACGAGTTTCTGCGGGCAGACTAATAAATTTTTAGAGGGTGGGTACCCTAGCAGCCTTCTGGTAGGTGTGACCGAGAGCTTCTTAAAAAAAAGTGAGTATTTCGGAGGGTGACACGGGTAAGAAGCCCACGAAGAGACCTGTTGCGGTACCTTATATCCACAAGGTTGCGCACAGATTAAAGAAAGTGGCACAACGGCGCGGCATTCCTGTTGTTTTTTTTTCGGCCCCTGGTTAGCTGGGTCGTTTATGTGCGAGAGTGGACAGAGATCGGACCCTTATACGCGGTTGTGCTAAGCAGCATTAAAACAAGTTTGTTCCTTCCGTGGGTGGAGTGGTTTATTGTACTCCGCTGATCTTTAACGAGGTATACATCGGCCAAAGAGGCCGTTGTGTAAACGGCAGATTCCTGGAACATGCGTGCTCGATGAGGTCGTCACCGTCAGGAAACCTGGCGGTGCACTGTGATAGGTGCGAGTGCACTCCTGCTGTAATCGATACTGAGATTCTTGCAAATCAGCATCAAAAGACGACTAGAGAGATTGCGGAAGCATTCCTTATTTCAAAGAACAAAGATAAGTGTGCCAGTTCTCCCTCAATTTGTTTATATGACTGCGAACTTGCGTTTATCAGCAGTTATCGGCGCAACGGTCAGTTGATATTATGTGGCGTATGTGATATGATAGGATTGGAAGTATGAGGGCACGACGGTGGGAGTCCTTTTCAGAAATTAAACAGTTGAAAATCAGCGCTTTGTTTGTGTACACCTCTGTCCGTGGCGTTTTTGCGCTGTTCTTACCATTATAGAAGTGTATCCGACCGACGATCTGATCATTTTTTAAGTAATTATTTCACTATTCTGAGCCTTATGAGGGATCGTAGCAGGGTTGAAAAACATAAAACGAAGCATAAAAGTACAAAGTGCAAATCAATCGTAACACAAGGCGGAAATAAATCCAGTTTTAATTGTTACATTTTTTAATTGTGACACTTTTTCTCACGCTTTCGCGAAGTCGATAAAAAATTACGTTTACCTGACTTTTCTAGTGTAAGACGGTAGCTAGGTTCTGAACAGTTTCGAGCAGCTGCATTGTCGTGGAACATCCTTTTCTGAAGCCATTTTGACTGCTAGATGGTACGTCATATGTTCCAGAAATTAAAAGATATGTTTATTTATAATGTGTTCAAGGAGTTGGCAGACGCTGCAAGTTAACGGTGTATGTCTGTTGTTAGCCAATACCTCTTTATTTCCAGTTTTATGTAGGAGTTTAATTCTGGGGCCATCTTCTAATCGGTTGGCAATTAACTTTCTGAAAATGATATATTGAATATAATGATTAAGTACTTGGAGATATACTCTGTATATCTTTCAAAAGCGTCTGGCAATCCGTCTCGACCACTGGGTTTGCATGGGTCTAGATTTAAGAAAAAGTTAAGAATTTCTTGTTCATTCAAATGTACATTTTTAAGAGGTGGTAGGTGGTCAAACTTGGTATAACGGGTTATAATTCAAGTATCACATGAAAACACGAATTTAAACTGTAGATTAAAAAGAGTAGCTATTTTTTGTGGCCTATCTTAAGAGCACCCTAGACAGTAAACGTGCTGGTGTTTGTAGTGGTTGGTAAAATGTGTCTCCATAATTTTCTAGGTGACGACGTCATAAAGTTGGGAAGAAAAACATTGCAAAAGTTATATTTATCTGCCTTCATTTGTTCTGTTAGCTTACTGAAACGATCTACAAATTTATCTTTTGGAGTTTGATTTATGTATTTGTTACACTTAGCTTTTAATCGCCGTAGTTGACGCTTTAATTGAATGGACCCACGAGATATCCATGGCTTATTTCGGCTTCGTTTTGCAGTTTGGACTGGTACGTATTTTTCTATGAAGTGACTCACAATGTTCTTAAATCTAAGCCACAGTTTGATAATATCAGGAATAAACTCTGGTGCGAGGAAAATAAACTCATCAAGCTTAAATCAAGCGTGCCTAAAATTGAAGTGTCATCAGCATGAGCAAAATCTAGTCCATTGGTGACCTTAGTGTCACATTTGATCATTTCGTTCGATATCGATAGAAGAACAGCATTTTGGTCGAAATTCCTGCAACCAATTCACAAGCGGAGAACCTCGCTAAATGATTTCTGAAAAAAACAAGATCTAGAATAGACTTCAAGCCTCAAGGTATATCGCACTTTTGTGAAAGACCTCACTTTGTGTGATAAATTCAACGTAAAAGGTAAATCTTACAGTTCTTCTTTATGTGCAAAGTCAACACTCTCCGGGAAATAATTAAGTCAATCTATGTTAGGTAAGCTAAAGTCTCCACATTAAATTTTTTTTTTTCGTTTTATGCTCTGCAAGATAACTGCTTAAATTTTGTAGAATAGAAATAGGAGAGTTAGGCGGCCTGTACACGACTCCCAGGAGATACGTTGCACCCTTTATTGTGTCCTTACAAACTACTCATTCTACACCAGGGATATTATTCAAATTCACAATCACTAAATTTCTTTCTATACAATATTGCAACTTCTCCTCCTCTGTTTTATTTTTTTTCTACTGACATCAAAATCGTTAGGAGCAAATTCACAATACAAATGTTGTTATTAAATCAATTTTCGGTTAAGCAGACGAGGAGTATTTACATGGTTGTTAGGCTTGTACCAAATGCGGGGGTTGTTGTACGCAGGTAGGTTGATGACATTTTGATTTGCGTTTTTGAGGGTGGGTCAATTGGAGTAATTAATTAGTGTGTGTTGAAATGTTTGGATTTGTC